GGAGTTGGGAGCCGGATCCTACTGACTTTTCAGTAGGAACCACAGCTTGGAGCACATTAACTGAGGCTCCAGCAGGGTGAAACGCAGCCAGGGAGCTGGTTTCTTTGACACTAGAAGAACTGTAAAGGGAGAGGTGCTTCCTCTGCCTGCCACCACCCAGGATGGGACAGACATCTGTTCTGCTGCAGTAGAAGACACAGGAGAAACCTGTGGAAGACCAGAGAGTGCCCATTAATCATTCTCAGCTTACTCTTTCGGGGACAGTCACCTGAATATACAGGTACAACCCCAACCTCCCTGAACTGGGTCCTTGGCTCAAACCTGGTACAGTTTAACATCACCCAGTGCTAATTTCCCTGCTCCTGGGCTCTGCACTGTTAACCAGTTCCCACCAGGCTGGCTGCGAGGGTTGCCTTGCTTCAGCTGGAAAATGAAAAGCAGTGGGTAATTGAAAGTCATTATTATTTAATTGGATTGATTTCTATTTTGCATTTTTCATGAAAAGTCAGTCACATGCATTTGTCAGGCAGCCTCTTCTCCACCTCTCTCCATTCCAGCAAAACCACAGCCCATGGGGAGTGTCTGGACTCGTCCAGAGCCTCCTCAGCAGCCTTGGAGGAGCAGGGATCAAACAAGGTTTAAAAAACGCAATGTTGAGGAAGGGGCAAAGGAAACCACCACAACATACCTCCAAAAGCCTTCAGATGGTCTCATTTGCAAGGTTAAAGCTCAGCTGGCACTGATCTGGAATCTTCTCTGTCAGGTTGGGGAGAAAAATTAAAGCACTAAAAGAAACCAACACAGCTCCAACCAAATCTGACTCCATCCCCAGTGCAATTAGACACAAGCTTTAGTCTGACAGTGTGAGATCATACAGGCTGCATGAATACTGATAGGCATGGGAGACTTGTACAACTTTTCTTAGGATGAATAATTAAATTGCCTTTCTCCATTAAACCTTCCCTATTAACATTTAAATACTCGCCTGTGTTTTGATGGCTGGAGCCATCTCACCTTGCATCTGTGGGGGGGCTTCATTCGATGCTGAAGTGCAGCCTGCCAGAGCTGCAGCACCCCCAGCATGGTCTGAGGGGCTGAAACCTCCACGTCGTCTTTGTTTTTAAGCAGCTCAACACACCTATCTGGTGCAATCCTGCTGAGGCCTGGAATAACACACCTCATGCCAGGTGGATCCTGGATCCTCTTCCAGTGAAATGGTGTTAACGTAGGCAGCTCAGCTTCTCCCACAACGGGTTTGAGCTCCTTCAGTGGCACCAGCCCCAGCATGAGCTCCCTGTGGAGTCTGGAGGGTGCCAAGGGGCTGAGGGACAATAAGTGGCACAGACAGTCTCCCTGGTTTGACACTGATGCACACAGCCATGTTTCCAGACAGGTTTCACCCCTGGGCTGGGGCTCTGACCTGGCTGGGCTGCTCCTCATGCCAGAACCTTCACTGGTGGGTCAGTGTTGGGGTTTTTCCAGCTGTGGCCATTGGACTTTTCAGTGCAAAAAAAAATAATAAAAAAATCATCAGTTCATGGGGAGAGAGCAAACACCAGCAACCTTCATTATGTCACACCACAGGAGAGACACCAGATTAATTAGTTGAATATTTGATTGAAATCCCCTGGAGTAGCTTGTTGTTGATTCTACTTTGCCCCACTCTGAGGCACAAGCTGCTGAAGGGCCTGTGGTAACATCTCCAGGGCTTGTCAGCAGCATTCCCACCCCAGCCACCCCCTGGAAATGGAGCCACCACGAGATGGCCACCCCACGAGCAGGGGGGCTTCATGTCCAGTGAAGGAAGGAGCTCACTCCCCCTCCTCTCCCCAGAGCCTGATGATTATTCCTGTTTCTTTTTCCCTTATTGAACCCAATGCCCCTCTGGGAAACAGCTGCTCTGGTCCTCCTTGCCCTCTCCCCCTTCTTGCCTTAACATTAATTTACTCTGACTGGCTCATGCCAACACACTAATTAATTTTCTTCATTAACAACAAGTTAATTCCCCATAGCAGACTGGGTGTTCCACAGCTGGTTGGCAGCAACACCTCCCACACCCAGCAGGGCTCTGCCCAGCAGCCACATGGGCAAGGGGGGTCAGAGCAGCACCCCAGCCTGCTAAAGCACCCAGAGTCATGAGGGGGAGCAAATACTGACTACTGAAAGGTCTGCTTTGGCTTTTTGCCCTGGTCTTCTGCTCTGGGGAGGATACTGCTAAAAGGTGCTTGGGCTGAGACTCCTTAGGTTCACACCTGGCCTGGGTGACAAAGCACAAAATGTCCCCTCCCAGTCTCAGCAAAGCTCCCTCCAAATTGTGCCCAGGGTGGTGGGGACCCTCCTGCTGCAGCCCTGACCCCCTGGGCCCCAGTTCCCAGCTGGCTTGCAGTGTTAGGACACATCAACCCCGAAGTTCACCCCACCTGTCTTCACCCAGTTACCTTCCCACGAAAAGAGATCTCTGGGTAAATACATTCAGCAAGAATCACAGCAAGATCTTCCTCTGCTCTGTCACTTGACGTTAGGAGAACATCCTCCTCCGTGCTGTTTGATTTGAGCAGCAGGTGGGAAGAGCTCTGAGAAAAGAAGTAAAAGGCTGTTAAGACAAAGGGTAGGGAAGCTCTTCCTTGCAGAGACAAAACGCAGGCAGTGATGAGTCAGGCTGGAAACGTTATGCAAACAGGCTAAAAATAAAACTGGTTTATTGCAGATTAATGACACTGTCAAATGTATCTCACCGGCCATTCAGCAGGTGTTGATCATAAATATTTGGGATTTCAAATAAACTTCTCTCTTGTGCCACTGTCTTGTCACTTCTGTCTCACCCCCCCCCTCTCTGGAGCTCCTGTTGGAAGCAAGGATTCAGTCATACTTAAAAGTGTAACAGTGACAGAGAACCTGCTCACTGGGCTCCTCCTTGCAGCCCAGGGCTTCTCAGAGCTCCCTCCCAGGCAGCAGCACCAGGACCTGCTGCTCTCCCCCTGCTACTGCAATCACAGCAAAGGAGCTCAGAGCTGGGGTGATGGGCTGGTCCAAGGTACAAGGCACCATCTCAGCCCTCACTCGAGTGTGGAGTCAATCCCAATGGCACACAAACCCCTTGGAGAGCACTTAGGATCCCACTGCCCAGGGCTCAAGGCAGCCTGTTGGACTCCAGGAGTCAGGTCAAAGCACGTCAGCTTGAATCCAAAGCCCTCACCAGTGTACTCACCAGACCAGGAGTCATTCTTCTGGAGCCAAGACCTGAGGTGGGCACAGCATCTGCAAGAGATGGGACAAGTGACAAGTCAGCCAGCTCAGGTGAGTGTGCATCCTCCTTGTGGCCCCAAAACCCCCAGGGAGTTTTCCCATTAGTCCCTTCCCACATCACAGGGTCAGGGCAAGTCTGAGAGAAGAGGTGAACATTTCACACGGCCAAAAGCAATAACACCACCATTAAATAACACCCGTGGAGGCACCAGGATCCATGAGTTTTCATTATGCTTGGAAATCAAACTCACTGATGGCTCATTAATTAAGTTTTCCAGCAGAGTAAAAACACTTCCTTGCTTGGGATTTCATCCTACTCACATAGGTTTAAAAATGCAGCTAATTAGAACAAGACTGGAAAGAAAAAAAAGGTCTCATTATGGCTGGGAGGGGACCCATTAGTCCCTTCCCACATCACAGGGTCAGGGCAAGTCTGAGAGAAGAGGTGAACATTTCACACGGCCAAAAGCAATAACACCACCATTAAATAACACCCGTGGAGGCACCAGGATCCATGAGTTTTCATTATGCTTGGAAATCAAACTCACTGATGGCTCATTAATTAAGTTTTCCAGCAGAGTAAAAACACTTCCTTGCTTGGGATTTCATCCTACTCACATAGGTTTAAAAATGCAGCTAATTAGAACAAGACTGGAAAGAAAAAAAGGTCTCATTATGGCTGGGGGGGGACCGCCCTGCCACAAGCAGGCACGGGTGACTCACAGCTGCTGAACAACCCTGCTGCCTTCTCTCTGTCGTGGGGAAGGTCTCCCAGTGCTGACATTAACTTCTCCAGCAGCTGTGAATCACTTGCCAGGCAAGAAAAAAACCACCTTAAATTGGATCATGGGTAACTCTGAGGTAGCTGGTAGCCAAATGAAGTGTTAATTAAACAGCCCTGGTTGCTGCATCAGCTGGGGGAGACCTGCTGGATTTTCCCTCCTGATGATTTTCAGCTCAGATGAATTATTTTCTCTTAAGCCCTTCTGAGGAGCAGGGGAAGGAAGGAGAACATTTCAGCCGTTCCCACCCATCCCTCCTGCTCCTCCCATTCTTCTCTTGGACAAATTTGCTTCCTGAATGTAACCAAAAAAAACCACAAAACCACACCAAAACCAAGCAAGCAAAGAAAACACCAAACCCAGACAAACCAACACAACTCAAACCCCAAACAACCGAGTTGGAACAGACACTGACAAGGAACACGTCTGTCTGGAACACCCAAGGTTGGTTATTTTAGCAGGAAGGGTAATGTCAGCCACTGTCAGCCCCACATAACCCGCAGCACCCCTTCCAAAGGGGGTTGAAAGAGGCGGAAAGGCCCCTCTTTGCACAGAAGAGGGGGAGTCTTGGGGGGTCCCTTTGCCCCCAGGGAAGACCTGCAGCCCCGGCCGGGCAGTGGGCCCTGCAGGGCAGCACAGGTGACACGGAGCCAGCGGGGCAGCACAGGTGACACGGAGCCAGCGGGGCAGGACGAGGGACGAGGCGCTGTCCCCACCTGCACACAGCGCTGGGCTGCACCTCTGCTCAAGCCCACGCGTGAAAAGCCACGGCAGCCCCAGCGCGGACACCCCGGCGGGGCTCCCCTCACTCCTCCCGGCCTTCCCGAGGCTCC